TCACAATATTTGTAAAAAAAAAAAAAAATCGCAATTAGATTATTTTCCAAAATCGTTCAGCCCTATTTTACATACATTAAATTTCAAAATAAAATAGTCAAAGTTTTAAGATTTATATCGTGATAATAGGTTAAAACCCACCTGTGAGCCAGACGTTACACTGAGGCCACTGTCAGCACTGATCTGTGATTTCTTTTCCTCAGTGTCTCCACCTTCCAGACGCTGTTTTGCTCCATCAGCCCCTGCAGAAAAAACACAATCAGCACTTCCATCCATTAATACTCTGCAAAGCATTCTGGGACGTCACATGACTAACAGCGAGCTGAAGCCATCACTGTTCTAGAGAGTGACAGTCATCGATATCACCGAGGGGAATAATGCCATTCAGCTGGCTGCCACTCATTAGACTACGCAGGTCAGGCAGAGAGAAACAAATAATGCTTGCGGTCATATTGGGGAAACTCACAGAAGCAGATCAGCTGACAGTGGACCAGATCAGTTCACAGTAGCGCAAGGTATCACAGACACACAGACAGAAGCAGTCACACATGCAAGCAAACACAGTCAATCAATCAAACAGGAGGAAGCTTCAGCTACAACTAGCACACTCACTGCTTCTTAAATGAAGAAACTGATATTGCGATTGCAAACCCCAACTTGGTTAAAATCGATTACGCTGTACTGTATGAGGCATCAAGAACAAAAAAATAAATAAAACAAAAAAGATTTCTAAAGCTGCATTCCAAATCTTCTGTAAAATCAAAGCGAAACTTTTTACAACAACATTTTCTTCACAGATGCATGTGGTCTGACAAGATCCTTTGAAATTCTTTCAATACTCAACTTAAACAAGTTACTGAAATGTGGGATGATGTAGTTTATCTGATATTTCATACTTGCATCAAAAAGTGAGATAATTAAATAAAACCAAAGATGACACATGCCTGTGTACAGTCATTGAGACGTAACCGTAAACAGAACTGTGCTGCAAATGTACATTTATTTACATCACCTGACAGCAATGAAAAATTTAATAAATGTAGAAAGTAAAAAAAAAAAAAACTAGGTTCATGTGAGATAAATCTATTTCATCGTGGTCAAACAAATGTGAATGCTTTCAAGAAAAGTTGTCAAGTTAAAAACAGAGCAAACCAGTCAAGAGTAGGGATGGGCATTAGTACCTGAGTACTACGAAGAGACAGCATTGGTTAATAAATTATCCATTTTGTGATTGGTTACAACAGTACATCAATACGGTACCTTGTTGTCTGATTGCTATGATTGGATGCCACCTACACATGGAGGCCGACTTTCAGTCCACATGAGAAAAAGCACTATGAGTGTATACACTGGGACACATTCTAGCGCAGGGGTCTTGCAATGTATTTTTTTTTTAAAGAGCTAAACTAGACAAAAAAAATGACGACAAATCATAAAAAACACTCTGCTCATGGTGTGAGACGCTTAAAAAACAATGATGTGATACAATGGCAAAAAAAGGCCTTCTGACATTCTGCTCATTGCCCACCCAGAGTTCTCAAGTAGCCCAAGCTAATATGTGTCAAGTACTCAAGCGGTCAAAATGACCAAAATGCACATCCCTAGTCAAGAGTCAGATTTGCACACTTAGAAATACTGGCCCAAATACTGATTTCATTTCAATATGTTTATACCTCAATATTGACTTTGGATGGATTGCAATTTTTAACTTTGCATCTATATACCTTGCTCCTTTTAAATAAATGCAATTTATTCCTTGGAATAATGTTTGGGCCACATGTCTAAATGGGATTTTTTAAAAGTAGTTGAATATTTGGGGGCAAATTATGCTTCTCCCCACAACAGAAAGTGGTTTAAGGGAAGAGGACTGGTGCAGATAGAAAGTCCCTGTTTTGCAGTTAGAGAAGGGGGCCATGCAATGGGGACTGCGGTTTACACACCAATGGAGGCAATAAAATTCTCCTCGTTCAGACTCCGGGTATCAAACTGCTGTGACGATTTTCCAGGGGAGGGTGGTGGCAATTGGATACGGGGTACCAAGAGCACACCAGCTGCCCTGGCGCTCTCCATTCGGCCTGATGGGCTCTCCTTACTGCCCGGGCTGCTAACCCCCTCCGTGGGGCTCCGTTTCCGCTTCTCTGGGTCTGTGAGCCACAAGTGGGCACCAAGGAAACAGAGCACAGGAAAAAGGAAGAAGAGGAAATAGCAAAGTCACATGGAGACACAAGGGATAGAAGTTAAATTTGAAGGCAGGCTACAGGTGATTTTTCTCTAAAAAGGTACGGAAAGAAAGGCTGAAACCCGAGGATATGCAAAAGTGACACCAAGATGGACACGGCTGTGAAGAGGAACAAGACTCTCTCGAAAGCAAAAACTCTTTGTGTAGGTACATATCTATTGCTCTGAATGCAGGCAGAAACCATGCTTGTTGCTAAATATTCACATAAAAATTTAATTGGGACATTTGAATGAGAATTACCTTTGGTTTGGTAGTGGGTGCGTGCTATCTCTAGCAGACTGAAGACACTGGCCATGCCTCCCAGGCCAGCATTAGTGTATGAGTGCTCCAAACTGGACACTGTGCACTTCAATAGGTCCAACATGCCTTTGTACACCTTCCTGTTTATCTCCTATATACACAGGCACACAAAACCATATAATGAATAAAACACAAGTCAAATATTAGGGTCTTGCTTTGGTTCAGCTGTTTGACTCGTCACTTCTAACTCACCACATCTCTTATAACTTCCTGCTGAACATCCTCTTCTGATTGGACCGCGCGGTTGAGTTTGCTGAGCACAAAGACTCTGAGCTGTTCGTTCTCTAGCAGGCGGCGTACTTTCTTCATGTTGAGCCAGCCCACACCCTGCCCATCGTGCACGCTCTGGACCACCTCCTTGAGAAACTGCTGGTTCTCACTGCATAGAAAAAAAGACCAGGTTTAACTGAGGAAGAGCTACATATTCACTTCATACGCACTCAATAGAGAACAACAAAAGTAAAAAGAAGAGGGATAAAAAAAAAAAGTAAAAAACAATATAATTTAACAATATGTATATTTTTAACACCATCAGTCAGGACAGTCAGTAAGATTTCTTTTTATTTAGCAAGGATGCATTATATAACTAAAGATTTACATTTCAAATAAATGCTGTTCTTTTGAATTTTCTATTAATCAAAGAGTCCTCTAAACATTGAACATTAATAATGAGAAATGTTTCTTGAGCATAAAATCAGCATACATACATATATATATATAT